TGTTTTCTTTTCGATTTGTAGATTAGGTTAATGGGCTACGAGCTAGAGAATCAAAAGAGAACCTATAGCGTTGACACACCTGAACACAATAGACCAGAGAGTCTAACGTCTAGTCTTATTTGTTGAATCCCACTAAAGTGCCTTAATATGTATGTTTGTTGCTGAATTGAATGCTCGTAACGGATCGTCTTGATGAGCTGATCTGGAATGAGTCGTATGTCATGTGTGGTGAGGTTTTTGTGTAGTCCATGTATTGTACTTGTGTCTAGAACTTGCCCGGTATGTGAGTTGAATCGAAATTTTAGGTAATGCTCGGTTTGAAAAATGATTTTAGGCTTTCTTTGATCTTTTTGAGCTTAATTGCTTGTCACAAATAAAATTTGTTCCTAGTTAACCCTTTTGAGCCTATGGCCTTTTGTTTGGCACCCGCATTACGAGCCTATACCCTTTTTGTTCTTAATCGACATTGTTTTGATCCTATTACCTCTTAAAGCACTTTAATTGTGAGATGAGCGCTAAAAGAAGTAAGAAGGAACTAAGTGTGGGGTGGCTTTTTGAGTGGAACCAATAAAAGGAAGAAAGGTGCACTTGTTTTGTAAACTAATACACCACTAGCGGAAATATCGGCAAAAAAAAAAGAGGAATACATTGTGTCTTGTTCCATCTAGTGGGTATGAATTATTATAGTGCTTAAAGAATAAGGGAGTATTTGTAGGGTGATATTGTTTATGGAAGTGAAGTGGGTTGAAGAATTTGCGCTAAAATTGCTCATGTGATGTGTTAAAGTGCTTAGGAGGGTTACTCAATATTCCTAAATATATCCTACCTGTCCCTTAGCCCACATTACAACCATGAAAAAGTCCTAATTGATTTTGGGTCGAGCAAGCCTACATTAGTAGAGATTTACATTAAGGGCAAGCTTATGGTACCAATTGCATGCATGTGACTTCTATTGTAAGGGTGAGTGATTTCTTTGATATATGTGAGCATATGATGCGAATGTGTGGATTGAATTCAATTTTCGTTGATGTGATTGTGAGGGCATATGATTCGTGACGGTAAAGCAAGTCTTGACTTCTATGTAGAGTACGTTGAGGAAGTATGAATATTGCATGGCACTTGAAGAGTCGACTTTTAGGGCTAGGACTGTTCACTGCTAGGCGTAATGTATGTAAATTGTTCTTGGTGTAGGGCGTTAGGGGAAATGGTTGAGTGAAGGAACCTTTAGAATGTATAGTTTGATTGCTCGAGGACTAGCAATGAAGTAAGTGTGGGGTGTTGATAATAGGTTAAATCTAGGTAATTTGGCGATTGTTTATGCTCCCATTCGATTATATTCCAATATCATAACATGGTTAATTGATGAAAAATAGGCTCTAATTGTGAATTGTATATATTGCAGGATGAGGAGCCTAGGTGATGCCTTAAACAGTTGTGATTGGAACCATTTTGGAGCAAGAAAAACCCCTCAGAGCTGAGTACGCTTGAAGACGAGGAACAGAAGTGATGAAACACAGAACTGGACATGCGCGTCCAGGTGCGCGACCGCGCTCCTTTTAGCGCGTCCATGACAGAATCTCAGCCAACTAGCGTGGCCAGATGCGCGGCGAGGTGCGCGGTCGCGCTAGTCCAAAATCCGGGAAGAAATGTTTAGGGGCAGAATTGGAAACCTAGAGAAAAACTCACTTAACCTATATAAAGTCAAGCTCGCCCAAGGAAGAAGGGGGAGGTTTTCATAGTCTAGTGCAAGAAATAGAGAGGCAAGAGGCAAGGAGGAGATTTGACAAGTTCTTCTTTTCTTCTCTTGGTTTTTGCTATTTGGGATGAAATTGAACCTATTTGTGATGAACACTAGTATGAGTAGCTAAAACCCATTGTTCTAGGGTCATGGGTGAAACATGAATGTTGTTGATTAAAGTTTAATTTGACAAAGTTGGTTTATCATATTGGGTTGTTTATTTAATTCTGCTTTTAGTTATTTTGCTGAGTAGCTAACAGTGAAATACTATCTACGAATCTTTAGTTGAACTCGAAAGTGGGAACTTTAGATTGCATATAGAATTAAATAGAGCAAGTTCTTGAACCCGGGCCTCGGGGAACGNACGGATTAGAAATTGGGATAGACATATACCCAATTGCCTTGCTTGGTTGAAATACAGGAATTGTAAATGCATTCTTGTTAATCTTAATTCCATAGACATATAGGCATTGAGTTAACTTGAATAGGCGAGTAAGGACTCGACAGATTCTTATGAGTAACATTAACATTGTCAATCAACAATCCAGGTAAATCGATTAGTCATTTTAAGCTAAGAACATAACACGATTGTTAACTAGCCTATGACCCTGGAATATCCTCTCCTACTGTTTGTTACTCGAAATTGTTATTTGTTTGGTTAATTGCTCTAGTTAGATTATTGCTTGGTAGTTAGGTAGTAAAACAATTACATTTCTATTTTGTGAAAAAACCTCTTGAATAGACAAATTAATCGAGTTTGAATTAGTCAACAGTTAATCATAAGTCTTCGTGGGAACAATACTCTACTCACTACTCTATTACTTGACGATCANNAAGACATGTAACTGATGTTAATCATCACAAAATCGCAGAACAATTAAAACAGCACAAGAAACATGCACATCAATATAATCTTTAACTAACGACTTGATAGAAAGAGTAGGTCAAGACACTCCTAACCTTAACTTGCACAGTGAAGTCTCTAGGATTTATGTTATTATAACTTGACTATGAACACCTAGTCGTATCCTGAACAAGCAGCTTTACCATCTCTGGCTCTTGCACCTAAAATAAAGAATGAGGGCATTCAGCGACAGTTTGAGATTGATCTGTCAAGAAGCAAAAAAAACAATTTAGTAAAATATTTTTCTTCACTAGTTCTATCCAACAAATGGTATGATATTATCAAATTTACGCTCAATTTTGAAAAGAACAAGTTTCATTAGCATCTTCCGGGCAATTATGAGGAGATTCATTCTTTCACAGTTCATAGGGTAACACAAACTACTAAAAACTCTTGTAAAGTAACAATACCATTCACTTAGATAACTTGTGACATAAAATATTCTTCAGAAAAAAAGATTATCACTATAAGTATAGTGCATTCCATATTCTAGTAGGTACGCACCATGAAATTGAATTTTAGTCAAAGGGAGTTGCAACTTAACTTGGAGGTCATTACATAACTGTGGCAAAGCAATATGGTTCTATGTGATCAAAGCTTCTTCATGGATCTCCAGATCTAGCACAAAGAAAATTCAAATTAAAAACTATATGTATGACTGGACAATGTAAATCAAACCATTATACATGTACATTATCCAATGAACAAGAAATTCATCTCAATCTTTACCAGTTAATATTCATAGTCTCAATTTTGTAATTTGCTATAGTTAGGATTCAAGAACTAATTGAGTTTAACCAATAATGCATGAATAGTAACTTGACATTAAAAATGTTTGAAATTAATACGAGATAGAAGTGTCCGCCAAAGTAGCTTTGTGTGCTAAATATACAATTTTCACAACGCACATGCCTTAAAAGTACCTCTAAATTAGGGTTGACAACGCAAACTCTGACTAAAGCGTCAGTACCATCTTTGCCAAGAGCCATCTCAGTTGCAACAATTGTTGTCGATTAGAAGAAATCAGAATTTTGTACTGCTAACTGAAAATTGAAACAGGTTAATATGAAAGACAAGACACACATAAGTTGCATTTGAAACTACATAAGATAACGAAAAAGATTTTGTTATATCTTATAGGTTGAGTATTGTCATTTGCCACATTTAGAGGTTGTCATTGTTAACGATCTGGTGTAGCATACCAATAGCATGATGGCTTTGCACATGAATTAAGAAACAAAGAAGCCAGAGAAAAAGGATTTGAATACAAAAAAAAGAATAAGATATCTGAAATCTACCGATATATTTTCTAAACACAATCTTTTTATTCTTTTGCAACAAAAGAATATTAGTGATAGACTAACCAAGCAAAAATAAAATGGAAAAGTTCCAAAAAGGAGAACTAGAACTTTAGAAATTCGAATTAGTGCAACTCACTATTCTATTCTAGCTATATCTAGATATAATTTTAACTATTATTTATAATTTTCTAGTTTCTTTTCCCACGAGATCTGGTTTGTTCATTTATAAAGTAATCTATAGAAAATGCTATACTCAAGTTTAATTTGATACTTGATCTTGAATGTAACTTCATTAAATCTCGACTTTTAGAAAAACTAAAGTATCTTTTCTTTCTAGCAGTAGCGACATCCATACATATTCTCTTAGTAATAAATCATAATGTGCACTTAATATTCGACAATTTGGTTATAGAACTATAGAAAATAGTATCAAAACTAACAGAACTGTAATATTAAGTATTCTTGTCAATAACTACCAATTGAACTAAAAACGGTCTTAGTATTAAGCAAAAAATTGTAAATGCATACTTTACTCCCGATCGCAATATACTTTGCTACTCTATGATGCTCCATATAAGGCTAAGCAACAAAACCAGAGAAAGGTGCACTTTAAATTCCTTCAAATACATGTAGTAAGGCAGGAAAGATTAAAAACATAACAACTTGAGGCACATTATGAATAAAAAATCAAGAGAATATAAACATTCGTTTAAACCAACATCTCTAGAGAAACAAAGGGGTTCCAATTAAATTTTGGTAAAATTGAAGTATGACAATCAATTAAAATTTAGGGATTTGAAATTTTTATAGTTCTAAATACAGAACAAATGCTTTAAATGTTTATCAATCAACAGCACGAAAGCTCTAACATAGTCGAGCTTACCTTGAGAGTTGCGAGACCATTGTGAGAGCGGGAAGGGGAGGGCCGACGGAACTATGATAGTAGAGACCGATCGTTTCATAAAAAGGTCCAGCAAGAGAAAACATCGAGATTAGAGAGAGAAACGAGTTGGGCGTTGCCGATGATTAGGGTTCTTCCTTTGATTTGGGTGTTTGCATTCGTTTTGGTGAATGGGTAAGCAACACTTTTTTTTTACGGAAAACGATAATAGAGGGAAAGTGAAATAACAAAATTTTGCTTTCTCGTAAGTTGTATCATCTTTATTGGCTGTTTCTTATTAATTGCCGGTAAAGATGTAGTGTCTCGTGGCTAATCTACATTTGTCGCTAATATTTGAGTTCAGAAAAATAATTTGCGGCAATTAACTTATTGCCCCTAAATAATTGCCGCTAAAAGCCATTTTTGTTATAGTGTCTCTTGCAGAGAAGACTCCCTATGAGTTACTTAAAAGGAGAAAATCAAATATATCCCATCTTAGGGTATTTGGATGCAAGTGTTTTGTGCACAATAATGAAAAGGACTCTCTAGGTAAGTTTGATCCCAGAAGTGATGTGGGAGTATTCTTGGGATATTCTTTACATAGAAAAGCTTATAAAGTGTACAACAAAAGAACTATGTGTATAGAAGAAAGTGTACATGTAGTTTTTGATGAAACTAACATTCTTTCTGAGAGACAGGAACATGAAGATGAAGTTATTGGGCTAGTAAAAGAGTTAAATGAAGCTGCACCAGAAGAAGGAACAGGTGATGGAACATGTTCTTCCATCTAGAGCAACCTGACAGGGGGAATTGAACAAAGAAGAACTGAATCTAATTCCCAAATGGAACTTGTCCATGAGCCTATTCCTCAGCAACAGAACATGGGAGAAACATCAAACAGAAACCAGTTGATTGTGAAACCTTATAAGTACCAATGTTCTCATCCCATTGAGAACATAATTATTGATCCAACCTCTGAAATTAAAACTAGATCTCAATTAAAGAACCTGTGTGATTTTAATGCATTTTTATCTCTTATTGAAGCTAAAAATGTTATTGAGGCTTTGTAGGATGCAGACTGGATAAATGCAATGCAAGATGAACTCAATCAGTTTGAAAGAAGTCAAGTGTGGCATCTGGTCACAAGATCTAAGGACAGATTAGTAATTGACACTAAATAGGTCTTCAGAAGCAAATTTGATGAAGGTGGAACGGTTACAAGGAACAAGGCAAGGTTGGTGGTCCAAGGTTATAGCCAAGAGGAGGGCATAGACTATGATGAGACCTTTGCTCTAGTTGCAAAACTGGAGGCAATAAGACTCCTCATAGCCTTTTGCAACACACATGGAATTTATCCTTCACCAAATGGATGTGAAAAGTGTCTTCCTAAATGGCTACTTAAAGTAAGAAGTCTTTGTCAAACAACTTCCAGGGTTTGAAAGTAAGGAGTGTCCAGATCATGTATACAAACTGGACAAGGCCCTATATGGACTCAAGCAGGCTCCTAGAGCATGGTATGAATGCCTATCCAAATTCTTGCTTGAACTTGGATAAATAAAAAGTAAGATTGACAACACTCTATTCTTGAGGAAAAAAGATAAGGATCTACTAGTAGTACAAATATATATTGATGACATAATGTTTGGGGCAACCACTGAAAAACTTAGTGAGGAATTTGCTAAATTAATGGGGAGTAAATTTGAAATGAGTATGATGGGTGAGCTTAACTTCTTCTTAGGCTTACAGATCAAACAAAGCGCAAATGAAACCATGATCCATCAGCAGAAATATGCAAAAGAGTTTATTAAGAAGTTTAAAATGGATGAATCAAAGGAAATAGACACACCCATTGCAACAGGTACTAAATTAGATATAGATGAACCCGGTTCATCTGTTGATTAGAAATTGTATAGGGGTATGATTGGTTCACTTTTGTATCTTACTGCTAGCAGACCTGACATTGTCTACAGTGTAGGGCTTTGTGATCATTTTCAAGTAAATCCTAAGGAATCCCACTTGACTGCTGTCAAGAGGATACTAAGATATTTGAAGAGCACTACTAACCTTTGCCTTTGGTACCCTAAAGGTAGTAACTTTAATCTAGTAGGATATGCTGATGATGACTATGCAGGTTTTCTTGTGAATAGGAAAAACACCTCAGGTATGGCTCATTTTCTTGGTTCATGTCTGGTATCATGGGCCACTAAAAAGCAAAATTCAGTGGCCTTATCCACTATTGAGGCTGAGTATGTTGATGCTGCCTCTTGTTGTGCCCAACTACTGTGGATCAAACAATAACTGATGGATTTTGGCATTGAAGTTGGTTGCATCTATATTTTTATGATAACACTAGTGCTATTAGTATGACTAAGAACCCAGTTCATTATAAGAGGATTAAGCACATAGATGTTAGACATCACTTCTTGAGGGACAACTATGAGAAAGAATTGATTACTATAGAATTTTGTGCTACTGATAAGCAGATTGCTGACATATTTACTAAAGGATTGAGTAGAGAAAACTTTGAAAGGAACAAGTTAGAATTAAGTATGATTAAGATCACCTAATGGGACCAGCTCAGAATGCAATAAAAAATTGAAAAAAAAAAATTCTTTTGGTTAGAAAATCTGGAACTTGTGTAAATATCTAGATTAATCGTTGCTCAATCTCATACTATAAATAGTATACTCCTGTGACATGTGTTGATATGACTCACTAATCTCTAACAAAATTTTCTCTATTTTGGTAAATTGAGGCATGATCAAGAGGATTCTTAGTGCAGAACCTGGTTCATCAGTACTGGTACATCTTAATAACGAGGTATATTTTCTATACTCTGCACAATTAGAAATATAAGTATTTAAATCATGAGGAGAGTCCTACCTATGTTCAAAAATATCAGAAAATCCTATCCGTTTATTTTTTGAACCAGTTCCGTCTCTACTAGAATTCTCACCACATAAATTGCCTAAAATCTAGGGAAGCTTAACCGCTCATTCAACCTGAATTTTCAGGTTGATTGAACTTCTAATTGACTGCAAAAAGCTACTGTAAGTCATTAATTAAGTTTCTCTCTTTAAAACCCCATCATCACCTTCTGTCACCTTCATTATTCCAAAACTGTCAAAATTTCTTTCACTCTCAACTGTTCTCTCTTCCAAAAGCCAAACTCACAAATTCTCTCACGAAATCAGTCACAATGTCAAACCCTCAAGATAACCCAAGCACTCTTCCACAACCTACCCCTTCTGATTCCTCCACACCTCTTCAACCCAGTACAACCCCCAGCCTAGGAGAAAACATGTTAAGATGCTCCCTCGTAAAACTGTGGCTACAGGTGCACTGTCAAAAAGATTGAACACACAATTGAAGGCTAGCCAAACTCAAGAATCTAAACACTTAGACGATTCCTTCATGTCTGCAAGTGAGGGGGAAGGAAGACCGGTCTTCTGATTCTAAGAAGATTTAGAGTTCCTCTTCTAAGGTACGTTCTATTTTGGTTGAAAGTGTAGAAAATAGGTTTGTTCTTGTTGGGTCTGTTAGAAATGTGGAAATTCCTGAGTTGAGAAGGAGATGAGGTAAAAATTAAAATTAAAAAGAAAAAGAGAGTGAGGGTGCAAGTTGTGATGTGAGGGGAACATGGATAGAAGTGATTGATTCGTCACCCACCTCTGAGATGGTTAGACCAGCAATTTGTGGGACTGAGGATGAAATTGCAGGAGAAAGTGACAAGAAAAGAGGGGGAAGTGGATTAGGGGAGGCTGCTGAGGATTTGGTAAATTTAAGTTCTTATGTGGATGAACCCGGTTCATCTATTGAAGAAAACATATAAGACCTTCTGAAAAAAGTAGGTGCCAGTTATAATCCCAAGAAAAGGAGAACACCAACATCTAAGGTTCCCAGCACTACAAAGAATACCAAGAAAATAAAGGCTAATTCCTTAACAACTGCTGAAATTCCCTTGCCAAAAGGGAGAGCCACAAGAAGTATGGTGAAACAGAGTGAGAGTGAATTAGAAAAGGCTTTGACTGAAAGCAAGAAGAAGAGAATGGATAAAGGAAAAGCTAAGGTTGCAAAGCCCTTTGAGGCTATTGATACTGAGGAGACGGAACAGGTCCATCAAGAGGAATATACAACTATGGAGGTTCAGACCCCCAAGCCTAAAAAGACCAAGACTTCTTCCAAGAAGTTTTCATCAGGGTCTAAGGCTGTTGAACCTTCATTGGCCAAGAGGGCAAGGTCTGTAGTGAAAAATAAACCAATGAGAATTGTTGAGGATAAGGAATGGAGTGGTGAATAAGAGAGTGAGTCTGATGGTGAACAAGACAAGCTGGCCAAGTTTGGCAAAAGAATAATTTTGAAGGGTAGATTGCTGACAGACTTGGTGGAACCAGGAATGGTTCGATTGGTTAATTCACTAGCTGCTCAGGGATGGAAGGACATGGTTCTTCAGATGGATGAAAGGCTAGCTAGGAATGAAATCATTGAATTCATGGCCAATGCAGAGGTCAAGGATGGCAGAGTTACCAGCCAAGTGAAAGGGGTTCAAGTGACCTTCGATGCAGAGAAGCTGGGTGAGATTCTTGACATCCCTGCTGAGGGATATGATGACTACACAAGGCAAAGATGACCAAGTTTAGACTCCCTTCCTACTGCCTTTGCAGTCACTAGGAGATTCTGTGATGCCACAAAAGTGAATGAGGCCAAAGTTGTGCATAAGAGTGAAATGAAGCCACAACACAAAGTTCTATTTGAATTTGTCAACAAGTGCTTGCTGCCTAGGCAGAAAAGAAGGCACATTGCTAACTATATGGACTTGGTGATGATGGAATATCTTGAAAGTGGAAGGCATATCAACTAGCCTGCATTTATTATCAAGCCACTGGACAGGGTTATCAATGGCTCCAAAGCCCATGCTACTCCTTATGGGTTTATTCTGACTACTATGCTTGATCGTTGTAATTGCCTCTAAAGAAGTGGGAAATGGCTACAAACAAGGATTACTTTGAAATCAACACTTAGATTGCTTGTGACTATGAGGTCACTGCCATTCCCAATGAACCTGATTCATCCAAGAAGACACCTATAAATAGCAAAGTCAAAGCTCTAGTGCAGGAGAGTGGGGCAAGGGATGCTGAGATAGCTAGGCTGAAGGCTCGTTTAGCGGAGGTTAAATCTGAGAGAGATGCTCTCAGAACTGAGCTCACTAAGGAAAAGGAGAAGAATGATGGCATTCTTCAAAATATGTTGAACCTTCTCCAAGCCCAAAACCAACCCTCTAGCTCTCCCAAGCCTTAGGACTTCCAACCTTCATCTCCTGACCTTGTCTAGTACCACCAGTAACCCAGATTAGG